AAGCTTTAAATTTTTGTTAGCAAAAAGTTGTTTACAATATTTTATGGCTTTTAAAATGTCAATTGTATCTGTAAATCTTTTTGTTCCTTTTAGACTTATTTATAGTCCCTAGAAACATTATTAATTCATAATTTATTTGATTTCATTTTTTTACTCCTGAAAAAAACTGTTGGTTTTCTTGATATTCTCCATCTATTTCCACTCTTAACTTTTCTTTCTTTCTTGGAGTTTCTGTTTATTCATCTTAATATTTATATACTTTAGCTCATGAATTTTTAGTCTTCTTTTTTCCCCTAATATATGATTCTAAGGCTATCATGTTCCTGCTAAGACTCCCTGAGCCACATCCACAAATTGTGATATGTATTATTTGATTATCATCTAGATTTAAAAGGTTTCTAATTTCTAATGTGACCTTCCTTGAAATGTGAATCATTGGAAAGTATGTGTTTTGGTTTCTAAATGTATTTATGTTTTGTTTGGTAATTTTTTTTTGATAAAAACACCTTTATTTATTGATTTCTAGTTGCCAATGTGGTTAGAGAATGGTGCCCTGAAATTTGCTTTGTGACTTAGTATTAGATGTTTTTGTATATATCTCAGAAATCTTGTTTTATGGTTTCTGTTTCTCGTACCTCTTTTTAGCTTCTCTATTATCCTCCCAAACAATTAAGGACCTTTAAATGCTTTCATTTTTGTGTAAACTTCTCTTCTCACCTTATATGTTCATATTATGTAGTATTTTGTTTTGTGTGTAATATCCTTCAACACAGTTATGGTTTGTTGTTGCTTCAGTCATTGTTCAGATATATGTATGTGCTTATTCCTGTTAGTCATTACATTTTGCTTTTTGCTCCCCCCACTTCTTGAAAATACATCCTTTATCAAATTTCTTTAATTGACCTAGAGTGCTAAATACTCTTTGGTCTTTGCCAGAAAATGCCTTGAGAGAGTAATAGTTTGATTAGATATTGAATTCTAGAATAACAGTTTGACTATATTTACCAGAGTATCTTGAAATTATCATTATAGTGGTTGAGAAGTTTGTAGTCAGTCAAGCTGTTCTAATTTCTTTTTTAAGTACTTGTTACTTTTCTCTGATTTCTGGAAAAATGTTTCATTGTCTTTTCTGTTTTGTGGTTTCACTACAAGCTGATCAAGTGTGGATATTTTTTAAAGTTTTCTCTTTTTTGCTAGTATTTGATATGTTTCTTGAATCTGAAGATACATGTCTTTTGTCACCTCTGAAAAAAATTATTAGGCATCATCTTTGAACAGTTTTTTTCTTTAGGCACTCCTTCTAGAGTATTAACTATTTAGAAATTTGTCTAATATTAGCCTGTTACTTACATGTTGTATCTTTACTTTATTTTTGGTATCTGTTAACTTGTCTTTTTATAGTCTTTATCTAGCTATGCTGCATTCAGAGAAGTTTCCTTAGATTTCTCGATTACCAACCTTTCTTCAGCTTTGTTTAATCTATCTTTCATTCTTAAGTACAGTGATTGTGTTTTTCATTTCTCTTAGTTTGTCATTTATCAAATCTCTCTTTTAATGCTTGATTCTTGTCTCATCGAAATTTACTATTTGGGGGATGATTTAAAATTCTTATATTTTTAGTTTTTATTTGATAATCCTATTATGTATTGTTCTTGATTAATTATTACAGCTTTTTGCATAGTAAGCTGCCTTCTCTATCCTGTTGTATAATTTTTTAACTGAGCTATTTCTAAGTTAAGACTTGCATTTTTTCCCCCATAAAACACTTTGTGAGATATTGGAGTACCCCTCAAAATGATTTTCTTTGCTTCTGGAAGTAGTTTTAAGGCTATCACCAAATCACTGTCAATTTTTACATTAACATTTTTAGGTTAGGATTTCACATATCCTCTGGTAGTCTTAACTTTTACTCCAAACTAATAGGACATACAGATCCAGATTATTAAATTTTTCACAGAACTCTTAAAATCCCTATATCTAGAGATGATATAGTGAAAAAAATTCCTTATTCATTGGTAATATTTTTTTTTCCTAACATACTGTTTCACTCAGGAATGTAGCCATACTAGGTACTCCCTTACAACTCTTAATTCCTTACCTTATGTGGACCCCAGTTCAATTTTCTGTCCCCATGTTAAGAAGCCCTAAACCCTTGGATTAACAAGACTGATAACCTCCCATCAATTGTAGCATCACTCAGAGACCTATTAGTCTCATTGTTTTGGCATCTGAGAATTTTCTTTTATTGCTTACAAGCTAGCTATGCATTTAAACAATTGCTAAATTTTGTGTAGTGTATTGAAATATTTCAAAGTATTTAAACTGTGTCTGTGTGGGGTGGGGCTCAAGATATTGTGGTCAGATTACCTTTGATTGCCATATTGCTAGAACCAGAAAGTATATTCTTGGGTTGGGATTGTGACTCAGCGGTGGAGCGCTCGCCCAGCACTGGCGGGACCTGGGTTCAATCTTCAGCACCACATAAAAATAAAGGCATTGTGTTGTGTCCATCTACACCTAAAAAATAAATATAAAAAAAGTAAAGTATTTCTTATTATTTTAGGTTGTGGATGAAGGAATTCCTTATTGAAAACAAAGTTTTTTTTTTCCTCTGGGATAAGAAATACATCACAAAGAAGTTTGTAAATATATGATCATCATATAAATTACTGTTTCTTTAGGTAATTCCAAAAATCCTTTAAAAAAATATTAAAACTCCTAGGTATGAATGGATGTCTGTCTTCATTAGGAATTAATAATGACTTGAAGGTGCCATAAAACATCCATATTTACATGTAAAGCAAAGCTTGTTACAAGGTCAAAATGTACCACTTTTTAATTTTTCATAAATTTTATGATACAACTGTAGTCATCCCTGTTTAGTACTCTTCAACAAGAGGAAAGACCCCAAGTATATGACTTAATTCCAAATGTTTGTGACTCTAATACAAGGATAATTCAAGACAAAAGAGAGCAATATATTTAAGAAATTTTTAGAAAAAGTTATTGAGTTGTAATAAACAATTTATAGATGTGACCAATTTACTAATTCTCATTTTTGTTATACTCATTAGTATATTACTTAGAATTTTCTTTACATAAACTATTTAACTCATTTTTTTTTTTTTTGGAGTGGGGGAACCAGGGATTGAACTTGGGCATTTGACCACCGAGCCACATCCCCAGCCCTATTTTGTATTTTTTTTAAAGATAGGGTCTCACTGAGTTGCTTAACTCTTCGCTTATGCTGAGGCTGGCTTTGAACTTGTGATCCTCCTGCCTTGGCCTCCATAGCCACTGGGAATATAGGCATGCACCATTGCTCCCAGCCTTAACTCATTCTTACTACTTCTTTATGCAGTATTTTTCATCTTTGTGGATAGTACTCATTTTTCCAAGCAATGAAGCGTGATTCCTTTCAGACTTTTCTGTCAGTCTTAACTGAATATTGCTTTTGTTGCATATTTCAAATAACCAGTGATTGCTGGGAAATCACTGCAGTACCTACCGAGAATTGTAGAATTTAGTTATCTGTATAACATTGAACACAGTTTTTTTTTTTTTTTTACTACTCACAAGACATGGTTTCTTTGGCAAAGTGAGAATATTGGACTAAAGATTTGCAAGATCTTTCATGCTTGAATCTATGAGTCATAAATTATAGGTGAAATAAATGCTAATGTTTGTGAAATTATAAATATTTTCATGTTATGTCATTTGTGTTTAGAAAAAGCCTTGCATAGTATTAAGGAAGGTAGTAAAAATTTAAAAATGTTTTTTTAAATTTTACCTTATTTTTCCGTCAGGCTATTTCTGTGATTATTTCTGATTCATCCATTGATTTATTCATTAAGTGTCCCTTTTTCCTTAGTACTGGGCTAGGTGTTATGAAACAGTGTTGCATACGAAACACCATTATTGCCTTCCTGGAATTTATAGTGTAGTGGAGGACAGATGAGAGCCATGCACTGAGATGAGTTATGCGATGGATAACTATGCCATGGCTCCTCCTTCTTGAGGGAGAATTATAGGGCAGACCTGGATCTCAAAATTGAAGGGGCTGAAGGAACTGCCATTTAAGCAAATACCTAGGATGGGAGGACAAGGGAGAGTTGGGAAAAGGAGTCCTGGAAGCAAGAAAATATGATACTTCTAAGGAGCCAAGTATACTGATCCCACTGTTCCTATAACAAAAGAGAGGGACACTAACTTCAAAATAGAAGCTAGTTAGAGCAATCTAATCCATAGTAAAGAGTTTGGTTTTTTAAGGTGTTACATAGTAGATTGTCATTTTCCTTTTTCCTTTTTAGAGTGATCACACAGGTTCAGTGCAGAGGAAACATTGGAGGGAAAAGATCAGTTAGGAGGCGGATAGAATAGTCCAGTATAGTCCATCAACATGGAAATGTAGGGGAGGGGACAGATCTGTGAGATGCTGAAGAGGTAGAATTAGACACTTGAAAGTTAACTTGACATGGATTATAATGGAGGAAGAAGGGTCAAAAATATATAGTCAAAAATATAGTTTACAGTAGAGATAACCGGTTAGGTGGTAGTGTTATTTACTGGACATGGGACACAGAAGATGAAGTGAGTTTGGAGTGGCATATGTTGAATTCAGCTGGATATCTGTGGGATATCCAAGTGTCTGGTAGGCAGTTGGAGATGAGTCTGTAAGTTCAGGAGAAAGACTGAACCTGGAGTGACAGATCTGGCCTAAGACTACAAATGAGAATTGAAATCATAAGAGTTACATTAAAACTTAATATGTTTATGTTCACTTCTGTTTAATTTTTAGACCTGTTTTCATTTTTGTTCCTTTTATTATTTTTTAACTTTATTAATATAGATGGTAGAGAATGGTATGATTATATAATTACTTACTTCAATAAAGAAAGATTAAACAGTGAAATATCAGTGACATCAGTTCTCTTGTGTATCTGTAGGGACCATAAAGAGAGATTGGATGTTAAGAGTGTTCTTGTTTATCTGTTCTTCAGGGACCATGGCTAAACCTGTTGGGTCACTAGCCAGAAGCAGTAGTTTGTGTCGCTCGCGCCGCAGCATCGTGCCCTCCTCGCCACAGTCTCAGCGAGCTCAGCTTCCTCCACATGCTGCCCTCGCCTCACACCCTCGGCATTCCCACCAGCCCCAGCACACCCAGCACTCGTTGCCTTCCCCTGATCCAGATATCCTCTCAGTGTCAAGTTGCCCTGCGCTTTATCGGAATGAAGAGGAAGAAGAGGCCATTTACTTCACTGCTGAGAAGCAATGGTATTGGCAATGGGTAGATTGCAGCACATACTGCCTCTGGGCAGAATAGGGATGGGGTTGGGGGTGGGGAGTGGTGCATTCTGTTTGTGCTGTTGCATAGCAAGTTACCATACACTGTGGCTTCAAACAACACCCATTTGTGCACACTCAGCCGGCAAGTCAGAAGTGCAAGCCTGGTGCGACTGCATTTTCTGTTTAGGGTGCCACAAGGCTAAAATCAACTGTTGGCAGGGCTGTGTTCTCATTTGGAAATCAGGGTCCCCTTCAAAGCTCATGTACTTGGGTAGAATTCAGTTCCTTTAGATTATAGGACTGAAGTCCTCTTCCTGTGCTGATCTCAGCAAGGGGCCAAGACCAGTGGCTAGTGAAGTGGGGCTACTCTCAGGCCCTAAGGGCTGCCCTCCATTCCTTGACTGTGACTTCCATCTTCAAAGACAGTTACAGCGATTTCCCTTTTGTAAACTCGTTTGTTTGAATCTCTAACTTACTCCATCTCTGATTTCAAGACTCAAATTTACTTAGCTAGATAATAATCTCTCTGTATTAAGAGCCACTTGTTTGAGGCCTTAATTTCATCTGTAAAATCCCTTTACCACAGCATTTACATTTGTGTTTATTTGAATAACTAGGAGAAGGTGTGTGTACATCAGGAACTGGGAATTTGGAAGCCATCTCAGAATTCTGCCTCCTGTGGAGATGTAGGTAGATACTCCATCACTGCAATTTATTCTTAAAGAATAATTCAGAGTTTGTATCCCCATTGCAATTGGAGAGTTCAGTGCAACTTCTCTTGGTTAGCACTTCACTCTTAGCCTTTTGTATATCTTTGCAGTGTAACTATAGTTTCCAACAGGATGTCTGTACTGACTGAACTGTATGGCTTTTGTGTGGCTTCTGAAAATTGGTAGGAAAACTCTAGAGCTGTACTGTCCAGTAGGATTTCTTGCATTGATAAAAATGTTCGGTCCTTATTTTAGATAGCAATGTCAAAAATTCACAGCTAGATCATAAATGTAAGAAAAATTTGATCCAAAAAATATTTCTTCCTCTTTATTTTTAGACTCTAAACTGTTGAATCTCCAGAATCCCTATAAAATAATAATATAGTTAATATTTGCTGATCTTTTATGTTCTATATATTATGTACATATGTACTCTTTTAAACCTTACCTTAGGTTATCTTTTCATACATGTGCTAAATTTAAATGAATTTAACTATATTTCACTCTGGGGGAAAAATAAATAGAAAAATAAAATAAATGGGGACGGGGCATAGCTCAGTGGTAAAGTTCTTGCCTAGTATGCATGAGGCCCTGGGTTTGATCTGCAGTACTGCTAAAAATAAAAATAAAAATAAATTAAAGCTGTTAAAAATATAAATAGTACACATGATTAAGTTCAACTTTCAAAGAAAATATGCTGTAGAAAGAATGTAAATTTTAAGCTATATTATTCCTACACTCTTAAGTTTGACTATGTGGGAGAAGCAACAGTACATTAGATTATTATTTGTTTTGGAATTCAAATATTAGGATGAGAAATGACATTAGAAATCAATCATATTTTCTTCCTTGAACATAGAAAATTGAGACCTAGAGAAACTAGGTGATATTTACCCAAGGTTTTATGGTTGTAAGGGCAGGACCAGTATGGGAATCCAGGTGTCCTAACTTAGATCAGTATTCTCTTCACTTATTATTTAGAGACTAGTTTTTGGAATATTTTTAACCTAGCTTAGAATTTCACACATAAAGCAGAAAAGAAAGTAAATTTATAAGATTGTAAATAAATCAGCTTTTAACTTTGGTAGCTGAACAGCTTCAGGGACTAGTGAATTCAATTAATGGGCATTCACTCCATAAAGGTGCTTCATGGAAATGTTCCTACTAATGATTTATTTCTGAGAGTAGTCCTTTCTTCATATTTCAGCTGCCTGATGCTTTCTGTAGTACTACTCATTATCAAATTGTTGAAGCGCTTGAAAATCATGCAGCATATGTAGACGTGTTATATGAAAGTGTTATTTAAGTCTTTATTAGCCCAGGGGATTTTGAACCTTCTGGGAGCTTATAGTAAAAATAATCTTTCTATATATGTAGGAATAAAGTAATTGGACATGAGCAAATAAATTCAGCAATATAATGTATATCTAAAATGGTATTAACAGAAAATACTTGTCAAAACTAAATGCCAGAGTAAACATGAATGTAAATATTATGCAAAGTGATAGTAATTATAGACCATCCAAAGACAGAGAGTGTTCATTCATTCATTCTATAAATATGAATTTATTCCGTGCTATGTGCAGCACACTGGTTAATAACTTACGTTGCCAAAGCAAGTGAGATGATCCTGGCTTACTTCAGCTGTAGATCATAATCATAAAGGCTCTTGCCTTTCTGTCCTGTCCTTGTCTCGCTTTATTTCTTTGACCAGTTACTTTTTACCTAGACTTTACCTTTCATTTTATAAGCATTTTTTTTTTTCATGAAGTGAACAGTATTCAGATTGGGCTCAATGCATTCCAAAAGTAAATAAGACATGGCTCCTGATTTTCAAGATCTCATTCTATGCATTCATCAATCCATCTGTTCATTTGTTCAATGTATTTGTATTCATTACTCACTGTGAGCTGGCCACTATTCCAGTGCAGAGATTACAGAAGTTAAGAAGACCACCCCTCCTTATATTTCCTTTCTTCTGGGTATACTGACTATAAACTGGTTAATATAAAATATCTGTTACTGGTACATGCTAGGATGGTAAAAATATGTGAAAGAAAAAAGAAGGCTGCTTCACATAGGGTACCTAGGGGAGTCGTCTCTGGGGAGAGAGTAGTAACCCATATGACTTGGAGAAGTAAGCCATGTGGAGATAGACAGATGATACCAGGCAGAAACAAATACAAAGCTGTGGAGATGTCCCAAGATGGGCATATTGGAAGAATAAGAAAGAGGGTGGGGTGGAGTGAGGTAGAGGAAGGGCATGTGACTGGAAAGAACCGGGGGCAGATGTAAAGGGACTCATAGGCTTAGACAAGACTTTTAAAATTTTACTCTGAGAGAGAAAGCATTGGAAAGCCTTGAACAAGTGAAGAGTGAGCTAACTTGAGTTTTGAAAAACCACTTTAATGGCTTATAAAGAAGTAACAGAGGGAAGAACAAGCATGGAAGCAGAGAGACCAATTAGGAATCTGTTGTAATCATTTAGGTGAGTTCATGATGGTTCTGGAAGATGGATGGCAGCAGAGGGGCTAATAAGGAGCAGTGAATTTGAAGGAATGATGGCTGCTGGGCTATGAACTTTAGTTTTCTATTTCTTTTTCCCTTGTAGAGAAAGGTTGGGGAGACATGCACAAAGGAATTAATCTTTGAGAATTTATTGAATATCTGCTTTAAAAAAAAAAAAAAAAACTATAGAATTGCCTTTCACCCCCATCCATTCCACTTCGCCACATCTCAACTCCTCGTCCTCCTCTTAGATCATAGAAATTACATATTTGTATAGTATATTCCTTTACCTCCTTAGGGAGCTATTATTTCATCAAGTTAAGATTAAAAAATTAAGAGACTAAAGCAGTGACTAAAATTCCATTTTTTTCATATATAAGTACCAATTCTGTGGTTCAGAAAGAAAAGTACTGAAAAAAAAAACAGAAATTTTTATGTTAAAAAATTATATGATGGGCTGGAGCCAAAGCTCAGTGATAGAGCACTTGCCTAGCATGTGTGAGGCACTGGGTTTGGTCCTCAGCACTACATAAAAATAAATAAAGTTCCATTGACAACTAAAAAAATAAAAAAAATGATATCTTAAAATTTTCATTTCTCTGACAATTGTAAAAGGCATAGCTTATGTTATAAAGTTTCTTAGGTTGTAAGGTTTATGTGAAAAACAAAACATAACTCCTGAGTTTTAATAACCTATGTTATTATATAAAGTTTAATTTTCTAATTTTTTAGAAATCTATATAGAATTGTAGCATTTCTTCTATTAAATTTTGAAAGAGAATTAATGAAAGTCATTTTTGTTAGAATGCCTGCTGGGACTCTGAACAATATGCTCATTTAAACTTTTTACTGCTATCTCATTCAGGGAAGTGCCAGACACAGCTTCTGAGTGTGACTCCTTAAACTCTTCCATTGGAAGGAAACAGTCTCCTCCTTCAAGCCTTGAGATATATCAAACATTGTCTCCTCGAAAGATATCAAGAGATGAGCTCTCCCTAGAGGATTCCTCCAGAGGAGATTCACCCATAACTGCAGATCTTTCCCGGGGCTCTCCCGACTGTGTAGGTCTGACAGAAACAAAGAGTATGATCTTCAGTCCTGCAAGCAAAGTATACAATGGCATCTTAGAGAAATCCTGTAGCATGAACCAGCTTTCTAGTGGCATCCCAGTGCCCAAACCTCGCCACACATCATGTTCTTCTGCTGGCAACGACAGTAAACCAGTTCAGGAAGCCCCAAATGTTACTAGGATAAGCAGCATCCCACATGACCTGTGTCATAATGGAGAGAAAAGCAAAAAGCCATCAAAAATCAAAAGCCTTTTTAAGAAGAAATCCAAGTGACCTGGCTGACTTGATGGAATTCTGTCCAGTGGCATCTGTAAACTTCTCCTATCCTCACTCCCTGCTTTTTGTTTTAATTTTAGGAATGTAACTCCATTGGGGCTTTCCAGACAGGATGCCATAGTGGAACGTCCTTAAGGGCAACTGTCTACTGTCTGCTTATTTAAGTTGACTGCATAATCAATTCGTCAAGCCAGTTATTACTGAAAAATCTTAAGAGATGAGACAGTTTACAGTCATTTCTGCCTATTTATTTCTGCTTTGTTGTTAGTGATATGTATACAACATTTTGTTGAAAGCCACTATGGACTTACAAGCTTTAATGGACTAGTAAGCCAGCATGGGCTTGCAAAAATTTCTTGTTTACCAGAGCATCTTCTTATCTTTCCACAGAGCTATTTACATCATGGACTAAATAACTTAAAAGACATAAAACTAATTGCACTACTCTTTTCCAGACTGGAAAAAAAAAATGTCTGCAAGTGAAACTGTATAGAGTTTATAAAATGACTATGGATAGGGGACTGTTTTCACTTTTAGATCAAAATGGGTTTTTAAGTAGAAACTAGAGTTTCTAATTGACTTGATTTCTGGAAATGAAAACCCACGCTTTTATTATGGGACGCTTCTTTAAATGCATTTATTATTATAAAGTTTCAAGTCCTGCTGTAAAGATCATGTTGTTTTGTTTTCCCCAGGGCTTTCACTGTGATTTACTGCATTGCAGGCTGTATGATAAAATAGAAATAATTTAAAGAGAGAAGGCTCTTGATTCCTTATGCAAGTAAAAGAGTTGAAACTTGATTGAAGGACTTAAAACATTCACAAGCTTAAACTGATGTCGGGATGTGGGGGTTCCGGCACTTGTTTACAGACTTTGAATAACGACAAAGGATTTATGGCTTGTGAAAAATTTGTACTGTGGAAAAGATAATAAATTGGAGACATTATTGTGTGGGATTGTGTTGATCTTTGTTGATAACACTCCTCAAAAAACATTATCTGTTTTCTGGAGAGCTTTGTAAGCTGTCTTGTTGCTTAATTGCAATTTAAGAAATAGTGATGTTTGGAAGTAAGTTGTCAACAAATGTCTTTCTATTTTATATTGTTTGTCATATTTTTATGTAGTTTGAAATGTTTAAATGTTCTAATATCAAGATTAACAAATATAAATTTATGGTGCATTTAGATTGTGTTGTATTAATTTGTAAAGTTCGGTGTTTATTAAATCAGTAGATTGTTATAGGCTAGCTTTATTGTGAGAAATGTCTCATACAGCAACAGAGAACATTAACATTTGGGTTTCTGCTTATTACATCTTAAAAAATTAGTCAAAAATGATCGGGTTAATGCAGTGTGGAGGGTGTTTGGGTGAGCAATTCAATAAGTATTAGCTAGAGTAGTTTTTCAGCATTATAGCTAACATACATAATGTTTAGCCCAGTGCTGTTTAGGTGAAGATGCTGATTGATAAGCAAGAGGTTTCTTTGACATTTGCCCCAAAGAAATGCTTTAATTACTAAGAATGTGAAGAATTTCAGGAAATCTCCTATAAACTGGGATTGTTTGTTTTCCTTGGTCCTATTGTCAAAAACTGTTAATTAAGGTCTTAAATGATGTTTACATAGGCTGATACTTACATTTTTAACAGACCAAGTCCTGTTAAGGGCAGAAATTGATTGAAATGAATTCATGATTTTTACTAATAATAAGGTTAAGTAATCTGAAAGGTAGAGTTTAGGAACTCAGATCTAAAGTTGTTTAAGAAGGGGAAAAATTGTACATAAGTAATTTAAAAGTGTCCTGGAAAGTTTATTTAGAGAAGAAATACCTTTTTTTTTCCTTATAAAACAGAAGGAGTTCTTCCCTTTGAAACTTGCAGAAGGAATGGGAACTTTGTAGTCTGATGATGGGGAGATCAAAGCCACTGGAGCCTGGAGTGAAACTGGGAGAAGAGCTGCCACCCAGGGCTCTGCCTTTCCAGGCTGGAGCGGTGCCCTGGGTCAGGCTGCCCTTCTGCTTAGGCCTCAGGGAGTCCTTGTTTAAGTGCTGCTTTTCATACACTTGTTTATAAACAGATTCAGTCAAGGGGTATTTACTGCTTTGTGGTGTTTGTAATGTTTATTTTGCATTAATACAATACTCTATATTTGTAAACTTAACAGAAAATAATTGAGCTTTGGAAAGCCACAATAATTTTTGTATTATTTATATGTGAAAAGTTGGGCATTTCTATAAATTTTTAACATTACCCACTTGTTGCCTTATTTTAACCTTTCAAAATTATGGTGTTTTCCTGGTTTGAAAAGTAATACCTTCCATACTATTAAAAAAAAAAAAAACACTTCAGTGATAGAAAAGTATAAAGAAGAGAATAACAGCAAGCAGACCAAATTCTTCTACCTAAAATAACATTTTTTAGTATTTTGGTATGTTTTCTGTTATTTCACATAATTGAAATCATACTATACATTTACTATAGCTATGCTTTTTCACTTAATAAAAAATTTCTCCAACATCATTAACAACTCTTCATGAACAACATTTTAATGACTGCATGATAATCTGCCATTGTATGGATTTGCCGTACTCTTTTTTTTTTAATACCTTTATTTTACTTATTTATTTTTATGTGGTGCTGAGGATCAAACTCAGGGCCTCACATGTGCTTGACTATCACTCTACCGCTGAGCCAAAACCCCAGCCCATGCCATACTCTTTTTAACATTTGTCTGCCATGAAACATTACGCCATTACCAAATTTATGTGAAGTATTAACATTTAATGTTTATTGAGCACTCTTTGCAGGCAGTATTTGAAACTCCAATATGTATTCTGATTTAATCTTTACATCAACCCTGTAAGGTAGGTATTTTTAAAAATATTTTTAAATCATCATTTTACTGATGCAAACATTCCACAGAATGAATAATTTGCTGACGGTCACATATCTAGTAAGTGGTAGAGCTGAATGCTTACCTCCTAAGTCATACTGCATACATTCTAATCAATATGTTGATTTCTTAGGATATCTTTAAAAAGAAATATGTAGAAAAGTATAAAGATAACTTTAGTTCATATGTTTATATATATGTACTTCTGTATGCATACACACAACAGACAGTTTGATGGATAGAGGAGGTAGGAGCTGGGCACACACACACAACGTCTCACATGCATATGTCGGGTGTAACAAGTTTTAGGGTTTCTTATCCACATAGCTATGTGAATATCCATTTCCCACAATACAAGGGTGTATAAATACTCTTTTCCACACCATCATTTGGTTAAAACTTTGCTAATCCTATAGGTAAATAATGTCTAGTGAGGTTGGAAATTTTTTAAATGGTTTATTAGCTTTGTATATGTTTCATTTCAATGACTTGTCCATGTTTTTTGCCCATTAAGTTCTTGGGGGTCCTAGTGTATTCCTAAATCTTGTGTACAGTCTTTCATATGTAGTTGTTGTGTTCTTCATTTACCATCTAAGTTAGTGATTTTTTTTATTGTGTATGCATTTTTCATACTTGTTTAAAAATAAGTGAAAGCAAAATTAGGTTTAATTTAGGTTTATTGATTTCTGCTTTTAGGTCTTGAAGAGTTTCATCTTGTTTACATGGACAAGGTGGATTTTTCCCAAAAAATTATATGTAGGACACAATACAGGTTCTTCTTAATCCATTCAAAAATGTTTAATAGTCTATTATGTACAGAGTGTTGTAATAAGCTCTGAAAGTTTACAGGTAATGTGGTAGGCAGGTGCTTACTTTAAAGGAGCTTGGTATCTAATAAGGGACACAGATACTTTTATGTGGTAGAAATGTAAAATGAATGTTGGAAGCTGGGGGTTCATGGAGAGAGAGATTATATAGGTAAAAAGTATTTATTAAAGGTAATTTAACTTAATGGTGCTCTTTTATTGAGGACATGGAAAGCTTGGCCATGGTAGGAACAAAGGACTGAAAGCAAGTTCATTTTAGGGCTTCTTCTGATTAGTAGTATGGTTTCAGCAAGTGAGCTTGCAGTTACTAGTTTCAGCAAACTGTGCCATAATGGCAATTTAGGCACTATTTGGGGGTAAGTTGTTTGCCAAAAACACAGCATCTGAGCAATCCCATAGAAGCCTGGACTGTGACGAGTGAACACTGTTGCCTTGCCACTTCCCCAGGCCTCACACAGGGCAGTCTTTGTTGAAAGACACTTATCTGGGCAGGCTTGAGTCTTATCTTGAATCAATTGATGTCAAGTGGGCTTCAGGCCATGTTGTAGGATTTCACCTGAGTCCCAAGAGTTCCTGGCAAGTCTCTCAAGTGGCTCTCAAAGGGTTCTCTCTGTGCCCATGTTTGTTTGTAGGCCCAGACAGAAAATAGAGAGAGGCCTCCATCCAGATCTTGATGTATTAACGGTGTGCTGGGATTGAGACAAAGTCCTAAGTTAGAGTTCCGACTGCCAGATCTCCCAGCATTCTCGTGATCCAGTTTTTACTGAGTCTGCTGCAATGTTCATCAGCCTCCAGAAGTGGGGGCGGGGGGCATTAAGCTGTAGGCATGCTCCAGGGAATCACCCTGGCTCAGCCTGTCCAGATTTCCAGTCCTTTAAGCAGTAGCTGAGCTTCTGCCTCCTGTGGACATGCCATTTGGCCAGGACAGGTTCTAACCCTATAAATCTAGTCTCTAGGAAATTTTATCTGGGCCAAAACAGTTCTTGATCAGTTGCTTCAGATTGTCTCGTTGGTTTCAAATAATTTTGTTATGTAGCAGACATCCAGTGTTGCAGTTTTCTTAATAATACCTTGTATTTATTCCAAAACACAACCTCTTTAATTGAAGCATCTTAACTTTAAAACCTTCACAGAGGTTAATTTTTCCACCTGTAAGAATGTTAGCCGAATCCCTCTTACCCTCTGGCCCCAGGGGTTGGTGGCACCAGTGTGTAGGGAGATTGAAGGTCAGCATTACAGGACTGGGAAAAGGTTTCCAAAACAAGAATGTGGCTTTTAAATTTTATTTTTCTTCATAGAAACTATTAATGTGCAAGATGTGCATCTGTAGCCCAAAAGTACAATGACAAGAAATTAAAGCAGGTTTGAGTAGGGATAAAATGAAGACCAGTGCAATGCCAGAAGTTGCCTTTGAACTTTAACAGTGAAAAAAGGAAATTGGAAGTAAGAGTGGACCTGGGATCATGAGAAATCAGGGATGGAAAGAAAAGGGGAAGGGTGCACTGAGTGTCAAATCACCAAAGCTTGTCAATTTAATTTCTGAATATTTTAGTCAATGCCTCTTCTGTATCTATTCTGGGGCCTTCCCTTCTTCAATTTTTATTTTATTAGTGAATTCAGCCTCACCCCATCATCCTTTTGTTGGTAAACTTTCTAAGTGGCACAGTGGATTTTCTCTGAATAAAATATAAACTGAACAGAGACTACCAGGACCTTAATGTCCTGAGCCCTGCCTACTGCTCTGGCCTCGAGGTCTGCTGTTGATGGACATGCCCTAACAGAACTTCACGCAGTTACAGAATGCACCGGGCTGCTTCTCACCCACCTCCTTGACTATGCTGGCTGCGCTTTTGCTTGCAATGTTCTCTCCCATCTTGGATAACCTTTAGCTCAGCACGGGGATATCCAGGAAGCTTGACATACAGGCTCCTAGTCTGAGTAAGATTTCACTTTTGTGAATGTCCAGAATTTTTATTACAGCACTTGTCACATCATATTACAATGACCTATTTACTTGTTTGTCCTGCGAACCTTACCTTAGCTTTGAACTCTGAAGGGATGGCATTTTCAGCACTGAATACCTTACATGCCTGATGAATAAATAAATGAATGAATAACACACTATTGCTGCATTCAAGTTCCAGGTTGTTAAGGGCCTTGACAAATTTAATAATTAGAAAACAGTTCAAGACTATTTATAATTTAGGCGAGCATTATACACTGTATTTTCTCTTAGCATCTGTTACTAAGCTAGATAGTTGGATTTAAGCTATTTAGTGACTAGTTTCCAAATGGAGGGGATCAAGTGTCAGGGTAAGGATGAGTAGCGGTTTCAGGGAGTTAGTGAGCACCCTAAGGAGACTATGGGTGCAGTGGGACGTCAAAGGCTTCCTACCAGCTCAGGCTGCCACTGCAAAATAGTGTCTGCTGCAGGTCTTTGCTGCATGCTCATGTGGCAGAGAAGATC